GGGGGGGGGGGGGGGGGGAGAAAGTACGTAATTTGTGGGGTTGGTATATTTATTTTGGTGTATTTAATTAACTACTAATTGTAATTAAGCAACTCGTCCACTTTCAAGTCCCGGGGTGGGGTGGGATGGGGGTGGGGGGGGCATGATATCGACTAGCTACTTAGAAAAGTTTAATCTTATATACTTCTTGCGGTTCAATTTATTTGATCCTTTTCGGAGTATAATGATCAAATTGATTCATTTTTTGCGTGATTTCAGACATATTTGAAAACTAAATAAAAAATATAAATAAGTCACAGTAGTTAATAATTAAAAATATTTATAATATAGTCAAAGAAAATCTTATTTGACTCCCCAAATAGTAAAAATATTCATTCTTTCTTAAACATGCATACAGAGTATTTGGTTAGGGTAAAAAAGATTGTACGCTATCAAGTCACCCAAAAAATATGCAAAGCTATTTTAAATATGAAATTTGTAATCTTAAGACAGAAATTATTTGCTACAATAGATAAATATAATTTAATGATGTAAAAAATCCTTACATTGATGTTGTATTAACTTAAACTCTAGTTAGAACTATGAGTTAATTGATGTTTTTGGTAATTATATTTAAAGAGACAATATTAACTAATTTGGATAAGTGGAGTTTCAAATTTGCAATAGGATGTAACATCTAAATTATGTAGGACAATGAGCAATTTCGTAACTAGTTATATACTTCATTCAATTTTTGAAGTATGTTCATTGTATAGTCGTGCATAAATTGGCGTATAATTTTTTAATATTTGACTTGAAAATATGAAATGCACATAATAAATGAAGGCGATTAATTTAACGGTAGAAAATTAATTCTCATGATGTTATACACATTCTAAGAAAGTTCCTACAATAATACAAAAACTCTATGTAGTTTAAATATAATATATACCATAAATTATATTTTTCATAAATCATTCATCTGACTCACTGACTGTGTGATTTTTAAATACAAAATCAATCAAAAATTTTAATTGGTGATGTTGGGTCTCATGATCTGTTAGCAATTAATATATACAGCTGCTACAACAATTTTTAAATATCTATGCACGTATGTGTATATAATGTATATAGTCCTTTTTCTTTCATTTTTTTTCTCTTCAAATTGCATTTCAATAAGGATAATTAGATTCCAACCCCATGTTAGGGTATTTAGTATCATGAGTTGGCTTGAGGTACGCATGTTTTTTCTAGAAAGACATGAAATAAGTACACACGTGTAAGGGCTTTACCAAAGAGAAAAGAGAACAATGGAAAGGAAGAATTATTGAGAGGGGAACTAAAGCTTTGGAAACTAAAGTTTGGAGAGGCTCTTTCTAAAATATATCAGTTGGAGAGATTGTATTACTACGGTGTAATAGCTCAACACACTAGTAATAGTGTTTGCTTTGGGCTTAGGCTGACACAATTTTTAAATGCACCACTAGAGTCTAAGCTTATTTACTTATATGCATAACATTTCTTCCGTGTTTTGTCAATATAAAATTCGTGTAAGGTGCCACATATGTAATAATCCAGCCCACTAGAGATATTATACCTGCAATCTATGATGGCTGATAAGGTAATGAAATAATGTGAACGTAAGGTTAGCTCTGGAGTCCTGTGTGACAAGAGAGTGCCACTGATACTCAAAGGTAAGTTCTATAAAGCGGTGGTTAGAGCGGCCATGATGTATGGGGCTGAGTGTTGGCCTGTTAAGAACTCACATATCCAGAAGATAAAGGTAGCAGAAATGAGGATGTTGAGATGGATGTGCGGGCACACTAGGATGGATAAGATTAGGAATGATGATATTCGGGAGAAGGTGCACGTGGCTCCCATTGATGACAAGATGCGGGAAGCGAGACTCAGATGGTTCGGACATGTTCAGAGGAGAAGCCTAGATGCTCCGGTAAGGAGTTGTGAGCGGTTGATTGTGGAGGGCACGAGAAGAGGTAGAGGGTGGCCTAAGAACTATTGGGGAGAGGTGATCAGGCAGGATAGGCGAGGCTTCAGATTTCCGAGGACATGACACTTGATAGGAAGATGTGGAGGTCGAGTATTAGGGGTGTAGGTTAGGAGGTAGTTGAGTCTTGCCTTACTTCGTACCTTTGTGACTAGTCTGGTAGGGGCTTTGTCTAAGATAGCTAATGGCAATGTTGTATCTTACTATTTCGCTTTTCAGTGTATGACCTATTTACTAGCTATTGCTTTTGCTTTGCATCTTTCTTCTGGATTTCATATTGTCCTTATTTTTCCTATGATTTTCGTGATGCTACTAATAATGTCTCCTTTTGTCTTTTTGTTTTCTTGAGCCGAGGGTCTTTCGGAAACAGTCTGTCTGCTCCTTCGGGGTAGAGGTAAGATCTGCGTGCACACTAACCTCTCCCAGACCCCACTAATTGAATTTACTGAATTGTTGTTGTTGTCGATATTATATGATTTATCTAATTTCAAAAAAGAAAGTGGTGATTTAATGCGTACTTATGTAGTCCATTCATACCTTTATCGTTAGCAAATCGTCTTGCATTTTGTCCTGCGACTAACTGAGCTCCATTGAAATGGATGTACTCCATCTCCGTGTGTCTACATTTTTGAGGAAAAAGGATCTGAATCCTCAAGTTTTGAGTATGATTTAAAATTACCCTCAGTTTAAGTTGACTCCATTATGAGTCAAATTAAATCAAGATTTTTCCTAACGATAAGCGTGATGTTAAACCAAACGCTTAACCCAAATAGCCGTGCACCCAACTGCTTAAACTAAAAATAGCCGATGAAGGTATAATATATGCATAATTTATGTATTATATATGTATAATTGTGTATAATCAATGTATAAACCATGTATATGGCTAAAAAAAAAAATAAACAATGAATATAGACGGCTATTTATATAAAACTCCCTTGTCTAATTTCGTATAATACCCCAACAAAAATTAAGCATTTTTCCTATGTAATATATATCATGAGAGAAGTATGTCACGTACATTATTGCCTAGGTTAGATATTCACTAATTTATGCCCCAAGTTGTATTTCTTAAACTTCATTCTCCTTTTTATTTTCTTTTTCTATTTCTTTTTCTTTTTGCGCTGAGGGGAAAGGGACAAAAAATTGGTTGTACGGTTATCACATGGGGCAACCATAATCTAAGGGGACTACAAACGTGGCTTTGTGGATAAATTTTAGGGACTTGTTGGGAAGTTGTTTGCTTTTAATTTTTATAATTATTTTAATAATTATAAGAATTACTTAATTATTGTTATGTTAGTTAAAGTATTGAGATAATTAAATCAATATTTAATGCCAGCATGTGTGTTGCACCCATGGGCCATGGCCATAGAAAAAATTACATATTAAAAATTGTGAATTATTAATCCAAAAATTATTTCATTGCGTAAGGAAATCTTAACCTTCACCTAACCAGTATATCGGACAAGCTTCACTGCCCTACTATTATTTTTTCTTTTATAACAACTATAATCAGATATTAAAAGGTTTTTAATTTTCACTGCCCTAAATAGGTAATTAATTGGCTATGATTATATAACTATCAAGGAAACATCCTTATTACAGTATTATAATTATTAGTAAAGATATCATTTGAAAGTAGTTATATTCAAATAAAGTGGGATTAGTTTGATCAATAATCAAAGTGCATGTGATAACTTCCTCATACCATATAATTTTCATAATTTCTTGGTTATTGCCACAATATTAGGTAGTGCTGGTAGCTCAAACTCCTCATAATGTATACCTATCCTTTTATGTTTTTTCACTCTGTATCTGGTGTCTACATTGGAGCCCGACTATATTCGAATTCGTGCCGAAAAGTTTTGCAACCGCTCCCTAATAAACTCGACTTCATAACAGTACTTGAACCCGAGACTTTTAGTTAAGAATAAGAGAGCACTTACGATTCCACTATCCTTATTGGTAATGTATACCCATGGGAGGATCCATAGTCCAGTGTATGGGGCACGTGAACCCATGGTCTTTCCGTCAAACTAGGTATTTTATGTACATATTTTTTTTAGAATGATCCAATATTACCTACTGACACCCATGCTCCAAAAAGAGTAAATGATGCACTTGGTTTAATGCTAAGTTATTTACTTAGAGGAGTATGGATTAATTCCCACTTAGTACTTTTATTTTTCTCCCTTTTTTAGTTGTGCACCCATATTATAAAAATCCTTGATCCGTCTCTTTGTATACCCAACTTGAAGAGATAAAAAAAAGGTATATATGTAATGAATAATGTGTAATTAAATTCTTGTACTTGAATCTACTTGATTCTCTTATAATTATGGAATTTATCATTGGCCGTTGATTCCCTTTTTATGCAAGAAAAGATAAGTTTTTCTCGTTGCTAAAGATTAGAAAGAGAGGCCCCATATATTTGGATGTACATCAAATCTTGGAAAATACACTACAACTACTTGATTTTACTTTTCTTGAAATACTTCCAATATAATGGCAAAAGGTGAAGATATCTCTGATTGCTTAAACTTGAATTTTATGTTTTTGACAACTAAAATACCAATGTAATTTAAGTTTTTCAATTTACAAATGTCATAATCCAAAAAATAGGTCATGACCAATTAATGCATAAGGTCATACATCTTTTTAGCAAGCCTAATCATGTAATGGAAATTTTCTTAAAATTTCACATAACTTCACCCCATAACATGTCGCAAATTACCTTATTATATATAAAAAAAATCCAATAATGTCATACTAGCTCGATAACTCAATTTGGCGTTGAGAGCTAGCTCACTTGGTGAGTTTTCTGCCTTCCGCAGTTGAGTCGGAAGATTCAAACCCTATCAATAGCGTAACATCTCTTATCCGCATTCACATAAGTATATGATTATGCTAGCTTCAACC